TGGCATTACACATGGCATTACACATGGCATTCCACATGGCATGCCACGTGTAATTACGTTAATAAAATAAAAAAAATATTACTACATACATTAATAAATACCAAATGTAATTTTTACTTATTTAAATACACGATAATACACCCCCAACTTTATCAGTTAATGAACAAAGTAAGGTCTGTATTGAATGGCCATGAAGAAATCGTATGTATAATTATAATAGTAATGAAGCTTGCGTGTGAATTTCCGGCTATGGACAGGTTATGCAAACGAAATTTTGGCTAAAAATAAACCCGCAAATCAAATTATATTCTTTAAAATCAGCTTTTTAGTTTGGGAATCAGTTGTACGTTAATAAATTTCGTGACAGAGTAATCTCACGCGAGTAGCCACGATGCCTATGAAGAAAGTTTTGCTAAAATTACCAAAAAGTGTCTACGTTTCACACACTGTGAATCTATAATGTTTTACTTGTTCAAATAGTAAAATAAGTATTTTATCATCATATAATTACGCACAAAGGGCTTGCATATAACTTGTCTGTATGATACATTTGAGATAAAGCATTGGAAATTAAGGGATTCAGTTATTACAATAAATTATTAATGTTAAACAAACACATTTTTTCAATTTATTTTCGTAAAATAAAAACGTTTGTGTCATTTTCAATCTAAGAATGTTAAAAAAAAAAAAATAGTGGCCTTTTGCCAGTACATTTTTTGATTTGATGCTGGTAGACATAATTTAGTAGTGGTAGATGTTGGGCATCTGGGCAATGTACTTTTTATCTTTAATCTCTACACAAACAACAATTTTACTTAAGCTGTCTGTCTCAAACGTTACTAATTCAGCACCAATGGAGCCAATAGATTGAGTTGAGCATGTTATCCTACTAGATGCGTTTATTATGTGGCAGAGTATTAATTCTTTCTTTGTATCCATATCAACTACGAAATAAACTATTCTGATAATTGTCCCATCTGATAGTTGAGCATAGCTATTATCTGATCGCATGTATGGAATACATTGTGCAACTGAAAATTCTTATACATTTTAGCTGTACATGGTACAGTTACAATTAATTGCATTGTCATTTAATTAACACATCTAAAATGGGAAAATACCAGGAAGGGCACCTCTAAGAACTTACAGGTTTTTCAAGAAAAGAGATAACACTCCAGAAAATTCCAGTCATGACTCTGATGAGGATAATGAGAACGTTTTTAATCTAAAACCGAAACCGAATAAAAGAGTTGTAGATGGAAATAACGAAGTAGAAATTGAAAGCATTGAGAATTATGAGGTGAGGTGTTCATTTTTCTACCTTTATTTTGTAAATAAAATTCTATGCCGTTTTATTGTTGATAGCACACTGCAAATTTTTTACAGGTGTAAGTAGGAGCAAATAAATACGTGGACAAAGATTTTTACGATTTTTTATGTAAAAGAGAGCCCGTACGTTTTTTTCGAGAAATGTTTGTCATATACTGGAGTACGGAAGCAATAGCTAATCGCTGCATATCTAAAGAGAAGATAATAATTAGGTTTGAGAACAGAAGCCTAAGAAAAACTTTAACACCTTAAAAATATAAGGATCTCAAGAGTAAGTAAACAACTATTGGTTTTTTTCTAATATTAACAATTATATTCACTGATCAAAAAAATTTTTACGTTCTAGAAATGTACAAATAATTCTTGAAAAACAGATTTTTGTCTAAAGAAACACAAGCAACATATTTTGCGAAGATGAATCGGAGCATAGATCATAAGATTAAAGAAGTAAGAAATAAGTTGTATAAAGAGGTATATAAATAGTGAGAAGTTATTAAAAAATGCCATAATTTATGAAAATAACTATTTAGATAGCATAGAATGCCCAAAACACGCGCTTGTTCTTATGTGTCTACCAGCATCAAATAAAAAAATGTACTGGCAAAAGGCCACTATTTTTTTATTATTACATTATTAGAATAAATGCCACAAACGTTTATTATTTTACAAAAATAAATTGGAAAAATGTGTTTGTTTGTTACCTAAATCCTTAAATTTCCTATGCTTTATCTTAAATGTATCATACAGACAAGTTATATGCAAGCTCTTTGTGCGTATTTATATGATGATAAAATACTTATTTCACTATTTTAACAAGTAAAACATTAAAGATTTAAAGTGTGTGAAACGTAGACACTTTTTGATAATTTTAGCAAAACTTACTTCATAGGCATCGTGGCTACTCGCGTGAGATTACTCTGTCACTAAAGTTATTAACGTATAGCTGGTTCCCAAACTGAAAAGCTGATTTTAAAGAATATAATTTGATTCGCGGGTTTATTTTTAGCCCAAATTTCGTTTGCATAACCTGTCGATAGCCGGAAATCTACAAACAAGCTTTATTACTGTTATAATTATACATACGATTTCTTTACGGCCATTCAATACAGACCTTACTTTGTTTATTAACTGATAAAGTTGGGGGTGTATTATCGTGTATTTAAATAAGTAAAAATTACATTTGGTATTTATTAATGTATGTAGGAATATTTTTTTATTTTATTAACGTAATTACACGTGGCATGCCATGTGGAATGCCATGTGGAATTCCATGTGTAAAGCCATGTGTAATGCCATGTGGAGCGCCATAAAGCATTATACATGAAATTTACCAACCAATTACCTGCATGGAATACCACATGGCTTTACACATGAGTTTTTTTGTGAGATTACACAAATAACTTACTGTGTAATTTTTAGTGGAATAACGCAATACCAGGCAGTAGGGGCTGCTATACAAAAACGATGAGAATTCCAAAATCGTTGGCTGCTGCAATGTTTATTGAGCTTCAGACCCAAGCGACCCGCGATCAACTACGGGCTACGTCTTTGTGGTGCAGGGAGAAGCCGTTAGCTGGAATTCGCGAAGACAACAAACTGTCGCCTTATTGAGCACGGAAGCCGAATATTTGTCCTTGTCATCGGCAACACAGCAGGCTGCGTGGCTCAGAGGCCTGGGCATGGAGCTGAGGATCCAGTCCAACGAATAAATAACGATAAATTGCGACAACAAAGGGGCAATCAACTTGGCATCGAATGCCAGATTCAGCGCGCAAACCAAGTACATTGATACATGTCACCACTTCATAAAGCAGAAACTTATCGACTCTAAGGAACTGTGCATAAACTTCGTACCATCATCACAGATGATTGCTGATCCCCTTACCAAGATTTTTACTCCTGACTAACTCAAAAGTTTCAACAACAGTATCGTAAAAGGTGTTACAAATATGCATAGAATTATTGAATGGTTATTTTTTTTAGTTAGTTATTTTATGATTATTGTACTTTTCAAATAAATATTTAATTAATTAAGAGGGCGTGTAGTTATAAGTGATTAATTTTATATGTGTAAAGGTGGCGCACTTGTCGCACATTTTGTGCTCAGCCTGTGAGCGTTGTGCGTAGGTACAGTCTCTGACGGTGAAACAAGTTACAATAACCGTTACAATTAAATAATATCAATTAAGAGATATATTGTAAACTTAGAGACTAAAGGTGTATTAATTTTGTTTACGCTTCTGAAAAATCCCACCCGAGATCTCATCTAATATCTCATGTGATTTCTCACCTGAGATCTTAGGTGAGATCTCATGCCAAATTCTCATCTGAGATCTCAGGTGGGATTTCTAAAAGAAAAATAAATAAAAAAAATTGTGCAACGATTGTAAATCATACATTAATAGACTAATTACCCAAAGTATTAACAGTTATAGAAAAAAAAAAAAATTTGGCTAATGTGGGACACGAACTCGATCCCCCAGTTTGTTAGGCAAGCATCTTACCGCTTGGTCGGAGTGGATGAGATAATAGCCCGACAATTTACGTCTATATAAAGTGTAAGTACCATGTGTTATTGTTTTTCTTATTCACAACTGAATCATACAATTATTAATAGATATAATTTTTCCCAATCTTGATTCTGATTGTTAACCAACTAGACAATATGCAGGAACATTATTTTCTTCACAAACAATATTATCTCTCTTAAAGTCACTCTTGAGGGAGCTTTATATCCAAGTAAGGCATACGTTTTTAATATCATAAATATTTATTTAAATGTAATAATAAAGAAAAACTACAATATAAAACAGGGGGACTTGATGTGTTGTGAATAAGTTATTTTTAAAAAATCCAAATTGCTTTCGTGTATATTATCTTATTTTGAAAAAAACACTTATAAAAGTTGAAAATCCTTAAAGCAATTCATGTTAGTCCAACTTTTCAAAGCTTATTGTACTCCGTAAATAATTACAGATGAAGTCATCACTGAAAATTTGTTGATATAATTCATGTTTAGTGAGTTAAATGTAATTGTTTTCCGAAAACGCAAAAAATGACTGAAAACCTACAGTTTTGTAAAAACAATTGCACCTTACTCGTTACACATGTATTGTATCAAAAAATTTACAGTAATTACTCCATCTGAAATTCTTCAAAGAGTATAATAAGCTTTGAAAAGTTGGAATAACATGAATAGCTTTGAGTATTTTCAACTTTTATTAAAGTTTTTTCAAAATAAGATAATATACACCCAAGCAATTTGGATTTTTCAAAAATAATTTATTCACAACACATCAAGTCCCCCTGTTTTATATTGTAGTTTTTCTTTATTATAACATTTAAATAAACATTTATGATATTAAAAACTTATGCCTTACTTGGATATAAAGCTCCCTCAAGAGTAACTTCAAGAGAGATAATATTGTTTGTGAAGAAAATCATGTTCCTGCATATTGTCTAGTTGGTTAACCATCAGAATTAAGTTTGGGAAAAATTATATCTATTAATAATTGTATGATTCAGTTGTGAATAAGAAAAACAATAACACATGGTACTTACACTTTATATAGACGTTAATTGTCGAACTAGCATCTCATCCACTCTGGCCAAGCGGTAAGATGCTTACCTGCTGAATTTGGGACTCGAGTTGATGTCCCATACGTCGAATTTTTTTTTTTCCTATAACTGTTGATATTTAAGGTAATCATTCTATTAATGTAAAAATTATGTTATAATCGTTGCACAAAATTTTTTTATTTATTTTTCTTTCAGAAATCTCACCCGAGACCTCAGATGAGAATTTGGCATGAGATCTCACCCTTAGAGGAGGAAGCACGTAATGGTATAACTTGTAGGCAACTGAAGAGAGAGAAAGCATTAGGTTTAGGGCACCCCACTTTTTAACCCTTTTCTCTTTGTTCGCTCGCGATTGGCTATCCGTTGACCCTATGTATACATATACCTATAGGTATAGTAGTATTTCACTCTGAGTAAGTGGCGTCTGCTCATAATATTTATATCAGTCAAGTCAAAAGTTTAATTGTTGTAAGTATCACAGTGAATAGCTAATATAAGCTTGATTTTTAATGATACTAGTCTAACGTTTTTGCGAAGCCCACAAGTATAAAAGTATATTGGTTCAAATTGATGACTGCAGATAAAAGAGTTGTTCGTCATTTTTATTTGACAACGAATAGCTAGACTATTTGCCCACTGTTCTCTTCTCTTTTCATCTTTGCCAGCACTAAAATATTATACACATAATAACATATATTTCATATGCAACTCTATTTTTCTATAAAGTATAATACTAAAACTTCTGAAGAAAGTGTACATAAGTATTTACCTGTGGAAGGTTATATTTTTAGCTGCTAAGTCGTAACTTTTGAGTTTACACGTTGGCACGCAAGACGTTTTCATGTTTTTTTTTTTTAACCAAAACTTTTGCAAACTCACGCTTAATTACTGTGATACTTACAATAATTAAACTTTTGACTCGACTGATGTAAATATTATGAGCAAATGGCACTTACGTAAAGTGAAATACTACTATCATGATGTAAGAATATAAGGTATCGCGTTCCGAGGTCTCATTTTCGTGCCGTTCTGCGCCTTCCATCACGACGCCATATTTGAGGGAGATATGACTACTAAGTACAGCGCCGAAGAGCCTATACAACGAAACGAAGTGGCTGAAGTTGAAACTAAAACCTATCCCCCGTATCCACCTGGTAGTGAGACATGTATCGATGGTTGAGAGGAAGACAACGATTCCAGCGTGACGTCACGCTGGACTTGTCTTCCTCTTAACCATCGATATATAGATATAGACATACGTATGAATATACATGTACGTAAATTGATGAATGATTACCTATTTAGTCAGTTTTTTATGTGTTATTATTCATGAATTGTACGTTTGGTCACTGAAACAACTGGAATAAAAATATTGAAATCAAAATATAAATTGTTTCACGAGTTTCTTGATGTTAATTTGCTTTATATTTTAAAAGCTTTTGAAATTTGCAGACAGACATGGTGGCGCGATAGAAGCGTTCCTGATTGGTCAATCAAAATAGCTGCGCAACGCCACACCCTATATTCTTACATCATGACTATACCTATACACAGAATCAACGGATAGCCAATCGCGATCGAACAAGGAGAAAAAGGGTTAAGGGCATTCAGTATATCATCTAAAATTTCTACCTCACTGACTTACCTGTAATAAGAAATTATTGTTAATAACTAATTATATAACTATTTAAACCTAAAATCATGAGAAGAGCCTTCAAGCTGGTACTTTGAAGAATTAATCAAGCCTAAATTTAATACAATTTGTTGCGAACTAAGAGAGAAAACTTATATTTCGTGATCATAAAAGAGTGTGCCAGCGTACACAATTGGAAATGTAACTTTTCTGTCCCAATTCGCAACAAATTGTATTGAATTAAGGTTTGATTGTTTTTTCAAAGTACCAGCTGATGGGCTCTTCTCATTATTTTGGGTTTTAATAGTCATGTAATTAGTTATCAACAATAATCTCTTATTATTAAAAGTCGGTAAAGTAGAAACTTTAGAAATTTTAGATGATACACGGAGTGCCCTTAAAAAGTGGGGTACCACAAACCTACTGCTTTCTCTCTCTTCAGTTGCCTACACATTATCCCATTACGTCCTTCCTCCACATGTATATGCTCTAAGCATGTGCCCGAGCCCTTAGGCTACAGTCACATGGAGCGATGGAGCGCAATAGATCCATAATAGATCGTGCAGCTTTAGTGTAGAGGAGCTATTCACATAGACATTTTTTGCTTATTTCATTGTGAATGTTGATATTGAGAAGCTATTCACGTAGACATTTTTTGCTTATTTCATTGTGAACGTTCATATTGAAAAGGGGGTTCCACTGTTCCGCTAAACTCAAATTGAGTGAACAGACTGAGCAGACCTATACTGTGTTCTCTGTCAGTCAACATAGTTGCGACCATAGGCTTTGTTGCCTGATGGAAAAAGAGGTATAGGTCTGTTCAGCCTGTTCACTCACTTTGAGTTTAGCGGAACCGTGGAGCCCCCTTTTCAATATGAACGTTCACAATGAAATAAGCAAAAAATGTCTATGTGAATAGCTCCAGAGTATCGACAAAGTAATCGATAACTTTCTCAAAGTATCGATTACTTTTCGAGTATCCGGATAGTGTTGCCCTTCCCAATGGCCACCTCCATGGCATGTTACCGCGACCTAAGGTTTTTTGTTGACATTATCTGTTAACCCTTACATCGACAATTGTTTTAGTATTTTTATACTTTGAATTGTACTTCTTGTACCGCTTAGTAGATAGTAAATGCACCCTCGCTTAAAAATTATAGAAAAATAAACAATAGAGTTATGTTTCTGACAAAAATAATATTTCTCTGTTAATGACACTATTTAATACATTCACGCATTAAATACATGAAGTCAGCAATGGCTTATCAAACATTTCGACAAGAGTATTTACATATGCCCGTTGTCACACGAGCGTATACGACAGCATGTATTGTCACCACACTTGCTGTAGTGAGTAAATTTATTTGGTTGACAGTTACATTCTTTATAGTCTAAGTACCTGTACATAAGTTGAGATTTTCAGAACTTCCTTATGTCAATTTAATAAAATAATATTTTATATTCACACATACACTTACATAATTCAGGATTTCCTGTTTATTATTCAGAACTGTAAGTGTATAGACAAGTACTAGAACATTTTCAGAAAAAATTCATGGTAATCTAAGAAATGGCAAAATGTAATACATGAAGTCAATGCTAAAAAGACGATGGAATCAAATTATGTAAAGTAATCTCTTAGATTCCTTTATAATTCTGCGATATTTAATTGTAATTCATTTTATTTTCATATACTGTGACGTAGATGGATTAGATCCCCTCACATTGCTTAGCAATAGATTGAAGGTACAGTTGTGTGGCACATTTTTTTTTTCAAGAGAATTATCTTTATGAAACCATTAAAAAGTAGATGGAAAATTTTATGATTTATAACAATGTTTAAGTTCACATAAACAACGTTTGGTTGTTACATTGTGTAAGATTATGATGTATAGACTTGGGAAGTTCTGGGATGTTAAACTGCCTAATCTTAGTACACATAAGCTGTGTGTAAGAGATTCTTATAACCACACTTTGTTACGCACAGTACGGCGTTACCAGCATACTAATATTAGCGTTTTGCTGTCATTGATGTAAAAGTTATTGTAACTATTAATTATTGGTGTTATAAGCCATGTTTTCCAAAATGATTCATATGACTTAATCGTTTTAAAGAAATCAATTGATTATATAAAAAAAAGATTTAATAATCATAACAATGCCTAAGTGAAGAGGCATAGGAGATACTATTAAAGGGGATACAAATGAGTCCACTTCAAATTCTCTTTGTTAGACCGTGATTATTTTTATCTTGTATGGTAATTATACATCTTCTTTTAATTGAATTATTTATTATAAGTGAATTTCCAAAATTTGTACACCGTTATGATACACAATAGCTTATTAAGCAGGCTTGGGCGATTTTGAATTAAATGCTGGCTAGATCTGAAATTCAGAGATTATATAGATAAAGTTTGCTAGATTTTTTTAGGAAAACAAAATAGGTAGGTCAACACATTTATTTTCGAGAAAATCGCTTGTGAAAATTCGTCATTTTAACACCCAACCTTACGGAACCCGAAATTCAATAGACTACCGTACCGCAATAAAAAGCTGTGGGCCCACCCATTAAATTGGTACATGTACTTGAAAGTATAAAGAATCTATTATTTAAAAAAAAGAATAGGATCAACACGTTAAATTTTGAGAAAATACTTAGCGAGGAAAACATCGAACATGAGAATTGTTTTGTTCAGGTACTGTAAGTGCGCATGCGCTGTACATTCATAAACATACAAGCATGAAAAACACAAGTGTAGGTACATAAGAGCAGATGAGAGCAAGAGAGTACAGTGTTGTCAGCTTTATCGTGGCAGGGCCGTTATCTTTACACAAGGTACCTCGGGAAAACTAATAAATTTTTTAATATTAATTTTCCCAATGACTTTTCCGCGTATTATTGGTATTTTGTTCACACATGTGTGTAATCAAAATAATTATAAAAAAATTATTACAAAGAATCATTTGTATGATAAGTACCCCACAGGGGCCCCTCAGTAGATACGACACCAAACGCCCAAGCCTCCTTAAACAGACATTGCGTATCTTATCCGAGGACCGAGTACCGTGGATGGTCTACAGCGCACGCGTACGTGTCATCTTGCACACACACACACACACACACACACAGACACCCGTGGGGTATGGCCTCATTCTCCAGATGTTATTTTGAGATATTTAAGCTGATTTTCATTTTCGAGATGAGTTTGATAAATAGATCTTATCAGAAAGAGGTGAAAATCTTATTAAGGGCACTGATAATAAAACTGATAATAAAATAAAATGAGTAAAATGGAATTCATACAAACTGTAGTATGTGGTATTTGAATTAAGAAGAATTTTTATATGTTTTCTTGTGTTAGGTGTCAGTTGACTTATGGGTGCTTACACACACATAAGCGAACGCGAAAAGAATGTGTATGCGGGTTTGTGTACGTAGGGCATAGAAATATGAACGGGTCGGAAGTGCGAGCATGTAAAGTGAATGAGAAGCGAGCAGTGCTCTCGACAGTGGCACCCAAAGTAGCGCGAAGTTCAAATTGGCTATGTGGAGCAAGACGTGAAAACCCAGGTAACACGACAGTGTATCGTATGTATTTTATACATGATAAATTAATAAATAAACCCCAAGCTATTTAACCCAATAATCCGGTGAACCTACTGGTCGCTTTGCTATTGAATAAATAAATTAAATAACAAAAGCGCCAATGCCCACACAACCCGGGGCGCTTACTGGTCTTTTTGTTAATAAATAAATAAATGAAAAGACACAAGCACCGATCCCCACACAGTCTGGGGCACTTACTGGTCGCTTTGTTGTTAAATAAATAAATTAAATAACACAAGCACCTATCCCTACAGAACCCGGGGTGCTTACTGGCCACTTAGATAATAAATTAATAAATTAAATATTACGAGGGCCACTTATCAGACAACTCGAAGCGCTTACTGGCCACAATACATCTAATAAAGCTTTCAATTAGAACATAAGCACCAATGTTACCAGGCAACCTAAGGCACTTATTTGCTTTTCCATCAATTTTATTGAAAAATCATAACTCAATGACACAAGCGCTAATACCATGTAAACATAACTGCTTTTACTGTTATCTATAGCTTAAATAATTAAGATAGTGACCAGTAAGTGCGCAGGGTTGCGTGCAGATTGGCGATTGCGTGATTCAATTAATTTATTTATTAATAAAGCGACCAGTAAGCGCTCCAGACTGTGTGGGAATCGCTGCTTGTGTCTTTTCATTTATTTATTTATTAACAAAGCGACCAGTAAGCGCCCTGGGATGTGTGGGGATCGGTGCTTGTGTTATTTAATTGATTTATTTATTAATAGATCGACCACTGAGCGCCCTGGGTTGTGTGGTGATTGGTGCTTGTAACATTGAAGTTATTAATTTATTATTAAAGTGGCCAGTTAGCGCCCAGGGTTGTGTAGGGATTGGCGCATGTGTTATTTAATTTATTTACTTAATAACAAAGCGACCAGTAGGCGCCCCAGACTGTGTGGGAGTCGGTGCTTGTGTCTTTTCATTTATTTATTTACTAACAAAGCGACCAGTAAGCACCTCGGGTTGTATGGGGATTGGTGCTTTTGTTAATAAATTAATTTATTTATTAATAAATCGACCAATAAGCGCCCTGGGTTGTGTGGTGATTGGTGCTTGTGATATTTTTTTTTTTCTATCATGAAGCTGACACCAGCAGAAAAGGTTCCGCACTTATTACATTACGTTGGTGAAACCGCATTCAATAATTTGTGCAACAATATTGGAGTGGAAAATCGTTACGAAAAATCATGCGACACTGTGAAAGAAAAAATAAAGGACTTGTACATCCCAGCAGTACTCGAGATCGCAGAAAATTTCCTATTTACAAGCATGCAGAAGGCAGTTACCAGGAGAAGATACACAGAGCTACACAAATACTTTTACTAAGATGATTCTTACATGAAATATTGGAAGCTTTCAAGAAACCGTTTTACGAAATCAGTTTGTTAACGGTATTTCAAATCGTCAGATTCAAAGCTGGCTTTTAGAAACAAAAAAGTTAACCTTTAAAAAGGCTTTACAAATAGCATTAGCTATTGAACTTTCCGAGAAGGAAGCAAATACGTGACATCAAAATATGGTGCAAGTTAACTACACTAACACAAGGACATCTAACTACAAGCGACGTACATCACAATTAAAGTCGAGTCAAAGTCATGACTCAAAGAGCATGCAAGTTTACACTCGCAACAACAGCACTACAAGTCAGAATGTAAATTCGAAGAATTTCAAATTTTATCGGTGCGGCTCCGATCATAAAGCCAATACGTGTCAGTTACCAGTAACTATCAAGTGCAATTTCTGTTGTAAACAAGGACATTATGCAAAGGCGTCAAAACAGAAGATGGACGAGAAAAATTTTTCAAAACACTCTCGGTCAACGAAAAACAAGTCAACTTCGAAGTTGACACGGGGGCAACCGGTACCCTCATAGCAAGAGAGAAGACAAAACATCTTTTTCCAGGAACGCTGCACAGTGGGGAAAATCGGGGTTTTTTTTTTGTCAAAATCAATTCTGTCAGAGCATTATTTCTGAATAAAACTTTTTGAAGGTTGAAGCTGAGATGATTGGCTATAAGAGAAAAACAAAATTTAACCTTAAGGATGATATCCTAACCTCCAAAATCAGGGCAAACTGTTGATTTTTAGGTAAAAAAAGTTTTTTTTTCTTTCGTATGCTTCAGAAAACTTGATTTTTAGGGTTAAAAAAATCGACTTAACAAGAATAACTTGAGTGGCACCAAATTTCAAAATGGCTGAACTAAATCGCTGACTAGTTTAATTATGACAAATTTTGGGAAAATCCGGGTTTTCTTTTCAAAACAAATAAAGTTCCGTTAGCGCAATATTTCTAAATGAAACTTTTTGGAAATTAAAGCTGAGATAATTGGCTAGAAGAGAAAAAATGGAAGGTTACCTTAAAAATGTAATTCTAACCTCCAAATTCACGGCAAACTGTCAATTTTTGTGTAAAAAATTTTTTTTTCTCCCTTAGGTTTCGGAAGATTTTATTTTTTAGGTTTAAAATAATCGGATTCATAAAAATAACTTGATGACCATTGAATTTCAAAACGGCTGAATCAAATTGGCTGACCAACGTAATAATGGCAAATTTTGGCCAAATTTGGTCTTTTAAAAAAAAAAAATAAACAATAGAGTCATATTTCTGTTATCTTCTTTACATACGTTTAAATTTACTTCATTAGCTATTGGGAACAAAAAAAAGTAGTGTCAAAACAGTTACCTTGAAACTCTGGTGCGACTCTGAATCCATCCACAATAACTCTT